ATATATATATATATATATATATATATATATATATTTCTCCAGGTATATTTGTGTTTTTATTACTGTTTAGAAAGTCAATAAATTCATCCATCTAAATTTCAGCACAAACAAGGTTAGTACAATAAAAAATTCGAAGCATTTAGGTACAGCCTACCAGACAAGCATTTCTAGTTGAAGTTGTCAATAGGCAAGTATCTCTATGAGCATTGCGAGGAAACCAAGCTCTATTAAAGCAATCATGCCACACTAGAGATGTAGAAAGAATTCAGGGACAGAAGTATCAAATAGGAAGAACAAAAAGTCATCTCCTGTATCATGTGGCACTAGAGATGTAGAAATAAAGCAAAATAGAAGAAAAAGAAAGATATTTTGAGTTTTTCCCTCTCCTCAAGCATTTAAACTTAGCCAAGCCAAATTATTCTTATTGCAGAGTTTAAGCTCATCAGCATCCAGAGAGGTGATCAAGAAGGCAAGATACTTGAAAAGGAGAGTTTGGATTCAAACAACAAAAAAGTTAAGAACACAGTTTGACTAAAATTGTTCTTGATGCTTTCAACATATGTATGAGACAAATTCCTACTACAGTCAACCATGCAGCAGCAACAAAATCATAATGCTTGAAGTTGCAGCAAAAACACACAGGCATTGGCAACCGTTATAAATGAAGAAAAAACCAAGAATCCAATTGCAATGACTTAATGACTTCATCAAAATTTTGACTGTAACAATCATTTTGCTGCCGTCATTAGAATAGTTTCATTGAAAAATTTTCTACCATATACTACTTATCCCAGTTACCATCAGAAATTATCTTTGTTTGCTGTTCTTCCAAGATCAGTTATGCATGTCATTTCAAGCTTGAGTTGAACAGAATCAATCCATGATCTAAGAACTAGCATTTACTGGAATCTCTATGCATGTTACACACACAATAATCCACCTCATTCAGAGAGTATGCCACGAATTCAAACTTGAGTTCAATAGAGAGTTGATGAAATTACAAATTTGAGAACCCAAAATTCATTGCGTTCCTGTAGTTGATATGGAAGAAAAGGAAGGCAAAAGTCTTGAGTTGCACATAGGAAAACAGAATTGTAAGCTACATTATTTGGAGGTAGCAAACGAGAATCGAATGGAAAAAGGAAAAAAGAAAATCTTGTTTGTTGGAATCAGAATGATCATTTTCTTCTAAAAAAGAACGTCTTGCCTAATTAACTCCATAAAGCAAAGTTCCTTTTGAGCAATCGAGTCTGTTAGAGAAAACTATCACAGTTCTGAGGCCAACATGATCAAAACAAATACTATGCTTGACACAGATTTTTAAGAGACCATAAGCAAATAAATGTCGGATGGCATACTGAAAGATAAAACACTCGATCAATGTCTGCATCAGTGATTTAAAAGGCGCTCGGGAGCTCGCCTAGGCACTCGGGCGAGGAGAGGCGAGGCCCAATCATCTCGCTTCATTTCCAGGCGGTGCGCTTCAAAGAGGCGCCGCTTGGGCGCTCGTCCGAGCCCAGGCACCGGGTGCTTCGGGCGAGCGCCTGGGTTAAACCAAGTGACCAAACCAGTGGTTGAGGTCTGGTTCGGTCTCCGGTGCTTTGGTTGGTTCAATCGAACCAACTAAAGCACCGATATTAGCATGACTTCCCCAATCCTAACCCTGCTCGCCGTTCATGCTACTGCCGCCGTTGCTCGTTGCCGCCGCTGCTGTCGTCGCTAGCCGCTCTTATTGCTACTGTTGTCGCTCCCACTGTCGCTACTCGCCGCTTCCGCTCCTGTTGCCGCTGCTACTATTGCCACTGTCTTTGCTCGCTTCTCTCGCTCCCGCTGCTGCTGCCGCTGCTCGCTGCTACCGTTGCCACTATCTCCGCTCGCCACTTCTGCTCCCGCTCCTGCTGCTCATGCCACTGTCGCCGCTTGCCGCTCCCGCTGCTGTTGCTTGCTGTTACCGCAGCCACTATCGTCGCTTGCCGCTCCCGCTGTTGTTGCTTGCTGCTGCCGTAGCCACTGTCGTCGCTCGCAGCTGCCGCTCCCGCTCTTCGCAATCAACACCCTCAATATACTGTTAACTGTATATTAGTAATAGTATTTGTATTTATTAGATTAATTTAATAACATATTTTTATTTAAAATTTTAAATAATTATATTTATTAATTATATTATATATTTTTATATTTTAGTGCCTCACTTCGCTCGGGCGAGCGCCTAGCGCCCCGGTCGTTTTTTGACCATGGCGTCTTTTGGCGCCAACGCTTTTTAAATCACTAGTCTGCATTAAAACTATCCATGCCTTTCACAAAACACAATCTATACAAATTTGGATGTAGAAAGAAGCCCAAAAGTCACAGCAGAAGATCGGATAAAATATACAGGATTTTTCTACCAGGACTGTTAGACTAAATAATCAGACTATAGGAAGACAACTATAAAAAGCCTCTTTTTCATTTCAAGGTTATATACACTCATTACTATTAAATTTTCAATAAAATTTTATCACAGATCGCACCTAGGTTTTAAGGGGAAGAAACTGAAGGAAGATAAAAGATCTCTAGCATGTAGTACTGAAGAGAAAAATGAACAGAACCTAACAGACAATTGACAGTCTTACTGGGAATCAATGAAGCTTCACTAAATATATGGGCTGCAGGTAATGCTCATTCAACATGCCCATACTTAGCTTTGCTGACCAAAAAACTTGACATCCGCATGCATCTTAACTCGAATGAAACACTAATGAAATGATAAGATACTGCATTAGATTTCAGAAAGTGTCAATTGTTAAGACACAAAGGAGATGAAATCCATAACTAATACATCCACTAGATGATTCAAGTTCAAGATAGAAGGTAACAGCTTACATGGTACTACATAGAGCAAGATGTGACAAAGTAGCATAAGCAGTAGTAGCAGCTGCCTCGAGCAGCCGTTTAACCTTGGTGAGGTAGTCACTCATAGCCTCCTCCTTTGGCTTCCTCCCTTGTCAATTTTACTAATATTAAATAAGAAATAAATTTTGTCCAACAAGTTATATATATTTATTTATATTTATATATATAAGATTTGTCAAGTGGATTTTGTAAACCTTCAACAGCCTTCCAAGCTTCCCAGGCTCTATCCCTCATATTGAATATACGAGGTAAGCTTGCAAAGAAACAAACGAAAAAAGTGTCAAAATTTTATTTGGCAAAAAATGAAAATCACGAATAAGAAAATATTAAGGAGCACATACTAGTATTTACTGGTCCAATAGTTGCTTGCTAGTAAAGCCCATACAGGATCAATTTGCTCTTGTTAGTAGTATTTACAGGTAAAGTTTTAGCTTTTGCAGCATATTCTTCAAAATCTACCTGCAAAACATTAGATTTCATCATCTAGTTAAGTTTTCGCAGATAAAAGAAATATATTGACTCGGAATGTACTATGAGGCACAATAACCAATACTATCAAGACAGATTCTTAGAAGCAAACACGTATAAACATAAATCAGAAACTAGGAAACAAATAAAGAAACAATCTTAATACTTATAGACTACTTATAACAAAGGCCATTTGTCAAGTAAAACTGAAAAAAAATGAATGACGGAACAGCCTCAATGACATAAATAAGAAGAAATGATAATTAATAATAATATCACAAAACATAAGCCCATCTTTTTAATTCAACTATTTGGAAGAAATGGGGAGCAGAAGATCAAGACTTCTTTTATTTTTTTTCTTTTCCTCTTCTGAGAAATGTTTTTTCTTTCCCGTCCAAAAAATAAGTGTGCAATAGAGTATCATTTAGGAAAAGTTGTTTCTTCTCATGTGTGCACACATGCACACATAACATGAACATCAACCGAGGGAAATTGATAGCACAGTCTAGCAATTCTATTTATTACTTTAGGGCCACTAATTTCAGGCGTTATGGTTTTTCTTGCTCATTGTAGCAATTATTCACAAACATTTGAAGAGTTTAAGCCTCGTTGTATCTGAAAAAATTAAGATACCAATAAATATAACAAAAATAAAATTATGTCTCTATTTTTCATTGGATACCAAAGTTTAAAATTGAATGATGATGGATGCTCTTGCAAATATGCTCCAACTATAATTATGATCCCAATGAAATATAAATTAATGAAAAGAATCTAAATTCGAGTTTCTCTTATGCATATAGTTATGCAACTTCGAATTGGACCAATAAATGTTATTAGAGTTCTCGTAGAGTACATCAGAAATTGTATTACTTACAAGAACCAAAACTAGATTAGGAGCGCATGAGATCTACCAATAGGTACAAAAGTAGAAGAACTGATAATAGACATTGAATGTATATCTTTGAGGGTGAGGCAAAGAGTTATACAGATCCATACAAGTTTGTTTTCCAAGCATCTAGAGTGTTGGAAGATTGTCTCTGAAGCTCACTAGATTTTTAACCATATCTTTGATCCATCATATGTATAGATTTTCAAAACATGCATCTCTAGTGTATTGCACGATTTTAAACAGATGCATGCTTCCTCTAGTCTTTGTGAAATCAATCTCGTTCACCAGACTGAACACTAAAACTCCATCCTTCACGATATGGCTTCTTCATGCTTTTGCAAGGATATATATATAATTTACCATCTAAAAAGATCAACTCTACTTATAAGAAAATGTCAAAGCAACCCCGATCTAATTATAAAATACAAATCATTTCCATTCACAAATACAAATCAAAGACTACTAATCACCCAAAATTAAAAACAAAAGTCCCTGATGCTTCAAATTTCACATAGCTAAAATTTTAGCTACACATTCCAAAATGTGATAGAATTTAAGAGTGAGATCTATAGTTATGGTCAACAAAATACTCAATATTAGACGTCTCTTGGCCCATCAAAAGTCAAGCGGATCATTTCTTATGAGTTCTGCATCATGTAATATGATCCATGCTTCTTACCTATCCTTCCATCACCATGTTATTGCCTTCATTATGAGGAGGCTTAGGCCATGGAAGAGTTCAAAAGGACTCAACCGACAATATCGACAAAGAAAATAATAGGGGTGACACATACAGATTCTTTCGAGTCTCAAGAAGCTAATCACTGTACAAATCGATCAGACAATAACCACTAAATTAACCCTTCACCAAATGATCAAGGAAGCCTCTGATCTTAATAGAAAAACGGGACTCATGCATGTATGCTCTCCACCTGAATGAATGATTAAGGACACAAATTTGCACAATTTGCACTTTAAGATTTTAAAAGTCAACACAGTTCCGATTTCAGCAATCAATCGAACCACTACGACACCAATATATTGGATGGCACACTGGTCTATACCATCTAATACCACAGAAAATGTAATGAAAATTAAATATATACTAATTGGTACTAATTTATATAGTTCGATGTCCGATCGATATCAAACCGTGGTTGTGCAGTTGCAGGAATAAGTTTTTTCAAATTTAAATGCTATATTTTGTAACTGCAAATCATGGAGTTTTATCAAATTTATAACTCCAACACATATAGTTCAGCACAAATCAATGTAATTTGTGGAAATCATGTTTTTGTTGATGTAGGATACTACCATGGGCTTCCTATAATGGCACCACCTCAATATGCTGCTCCACCACCCAGGAGCAGTGGCTTTTTGGAAGGATGCTTAGAGTGTTCATGGCTTCTATTTTTTTATGCTCTTAAAGTTTTGTTCTAATACTCTGTTCCTAAAAAAACTTCTGAATCACCCGTTCCTTCTCTTTCTGTGTTTGTCATAACAAAATGAAAAATTGGAGTCTTTCTCTGTTTTTTGTGTGATTAAAGTATACAGCAGTAGAGGAATATGATATTTCACTGATGAACAAAGATTAAATAGAAATGTGGAAATTAAATAGCATATGCAATCATGATTTGATGCATTGTACGGCGTACCATTCAAAATAATATGAAACGAGCTGTACGTACTGGTCTGCCCATTGATTGGAAAGTGATAAGTCCGTTTCAGATGGTATGCAAGAATCAGGTGAGGTATCAGCCAAGCATAGATGATATGTCGCTCGGTACCTTCAAAACTCATGTTGTATCGGTTAAAATTTGATTGATACCAATCCAAATCGGCTCAAGCGAAACCCGAATACTCAAATTAACCATTAAGGCCTCTTTTGGAACTTTAAATCTTCATGTGTCCCCCTTTTCACTCGGTATTACTCTCATTCTCATCCGCTTTCTCACTCTTTCTCACACTATTCTTTGTGAAAGTTCATGATCGGTGATTAGTGGTAATCAAGATATTGATTTAAATAAAGGAGGGATTCGAACTCAACATATGATGGAATTTCACTCTAATTTGAGAGAGCATTTAGCTTTTATCTATGTTTTATCATCATTTTGTATAAAGATTAAACGTGATTAAGGTCATTCTCTTATGTTTATTCTCAACTAGGTTCTTTCTCTTACATTTAGACCTAAATTAGGGATACTTAGGGTCAAATTGGTGGTAATAAAAAGATAAATCCACTTTCTCATCCTTATAACCTGTTATTCCTATTCTTTCATGCCTCATAGACACTATATTCTTATTTAAATATAACAAGTTATCATTAATTAGGATTAAACACGTAAAAATTATCTTTTGTGAATTCCAATCATCATTGG